GCAGTCAGAGTAAAACGCAATCTGGGCATCAATTTCGGCGCTGGCAAGGTGAGGCCGCGCGCCACACGGCGTGCGCGCGAGCAGCCTGCTCTGCGCTGTGGTCGCAAGCTGTTGTCGTTTCGTGGCCTCGTCAGGCGCCGTTTCCTTCACGCTATGTTGCCGTGCTCTCGTCCACTCGGTACGGAGGCAGTGTGCTTGATACGAACGGCTCTGACCTCCGCACCGCGCGCACGTTGCAGGCGCATGTACAGAGTCAGCGGTTGTCTGGTCGGTCTGTCACGCTCATGCTCACTTTCGCGCACAAGCCTTCCGTGGACCCCTTCTACTCCCTCAACCTCGACCCTTTTATGGCGTTCGCCCATGCAGTCTGGGACAATTGGCTTCCCCGAAGAATGCTGGAGCAAGGGATCGTCGCTGAGGTTGGGCGTCCCGAGGGTCATGGTAGCCCCTGGTCCAGCATTAGGGGCCCCTTCTCGGCTTGCGCCGCGACCGCCCAGAGAATTGGCCTTGTGATTGCTGGCTTTTCGTGGCGGGTCCCTGGGCTTGGAGCTCTCGGCCTCTCTTCCTGTGTCCTCGGGCCTTGCGCCCCTGGCTCGCCCGCGCTGTGGAAGCCACTCTCTGGGGCAAGGTTGCTGAGCGCGAAGGGGTTGCCGAGCTTGCCAATGGATGCTTGTTAGAGCCCATCCGCAAGGTCTTGTCTTCTAGACACCGCACGGCCCAGGAGAAGGGCTATCTCGTTTCGCTCGCTGGTAGGGGCCAATGGCCTCAGCATCGCCAGTGGGCTTCGTAGTTGGCCCCCACGGGAGAATGCAGGTTTTGCATTGATGGTCTTGGCACGTTGCTGCATCGGCATGCCTGCTGCCCAGGGATAGAAGAGTTAGCGCCGCATCTTTCGCCGCCCGGGTTCATTGCCAGACTGGCGAAGGCTTCCAAGGATCTGTTCCCCCTCTTGTTCGCGGAGAGGCTGTTGGCGCTTGTTGCTCCTCTCCCGAGCTCGGACCTTCAGCCTGACAGGTGGATCGGAGGGGGTCCGCTTGACTTACGTGAGCACGCATGCCTCGATGACAGCACTTACGATGCTGAGCTCCCCTCGCACGCGCGAGCTTGCGCGTGGGCCTGCGTGTCCATCAGCATCGACTATCCTTATCGCGCGCGCATTGTGTTTGTCGGTCTCTCGGAAGACCCCTATCGAGACATTGATTGTGCCGAGCTGCACGCGATGCTCCGAGGGCTTCAGCATGCTATGCCAGGCACGGTTGTCTTCAGTGATTCCAGTTTTGTTGTGCGTGGCCTCTACGAGCGTGGTGAGCACGCGTGCTGTGCCGCCTCCAGTGCCTGGGCCGACGTTTGGAAGCAGGTTTGGGCGCGCGTGCACGATTGGGGTGGATTGGAGCACGTTCGCGTCATCAAGGTGCCCGCGCACGCCACACATGCGCACGTGCGGCAGGGTCGCCTCCCTTTTTCCAGCTGTTTGGCAACCTCTCGGCCGACTCTTGGGCCAAAGCCACTGCGCGTGCTGCCAGGATCCCGAAAGAGGTGCTGGACTCCAGGGACGCGAAATCCAAGGTTCTTCGGTCCTGGGCCGACTGGGTCGTTCAGGTCGGGCCCGTCTTGACCGATGTAGACTGTCTGCACGTGAAGGCGACGGCGCTGAAGGACCAGCGGCCAGCCTTGCAAGTGCTGCCGCCGCCGCCGACCGCCGCCCCGTCCATTCTCTCTCGGGCTGACTCTGTCGCCGTTCGTGGAGAGCTTGCGGGTGAGTTGGTCCATGTGATCCACCCCTTCCAGCTGCGCGGTGGGAAGTGCATGCTCGTCTGTGCACGTTGTGGCCTTGGAGGGGCCAAAGTCTCTGCGAGGCTCCAAGGGGCCTGCCTGGGCCCTCCCGCGCCAGGTACCCATGGAACCAAGGTGCCTGCCAACTTGGCGCGCACGCCTGCTCGTTACTCCTTGAATAAAGAATGGCACCTGCTCGTTCAGCCGTTCCGCACGGCCGATATCCTTCGCGCAGGTGAATGCTGATTGCTGGCCCCCGCCCTGGCTCGCCCGCCTCCTCGGCGCAGGCGCGACCAGTGAGGGGCCACCCGCCAGGCGGTCTCTGCCCGCGGGCTCTCACCCCTCGGGGGCACCACGGCACCGCCTGGCCTTCGCTGTTTTCGTTCGTTTGCTCGGGGTGATTGGCCGAGTCGGGGGCGCCGCCCACGCCCGTCCTCCTTTGGCGCGCGCGGCGGCGCAAGTGGCACGTGGCGCGACGGTTTCACGACTCACTTCGGAGAGATCGCAGGAGGAGGAGGAGGAGGAGGAGGAGGAGGAGGAGGGAGGAGGGAGGAGTAGGAGGAGGAGGAGGAGGAGGAGGGGGAGGAGGGGGAGGAGGAGGAGGAGGAGGAGGAGGAGGAGGAGGAGGGGGAGGAGAGAAGAAGACGAATAATAAAAGCAGGAACCATAATATTAAAACTGGCCAGAAGAAGAGGAGGAAGAGAAGGAGGAGGAGGAGGAGGAAGAGGAGGAGGAGGAGGAGGAGGAGGAGGAGGAGGAGGAGGGGGAGGGACGGGTCCGTAGCCTTTTTGGCTCAAGGCTCGCCGCAGGCATTTTGGGTTTTTCTCTCTCGTCTCGGCCACCGCACCTTCCATGCACCATGCCTGTTCCTGCGCGCGCTATGGCGGATACTCTCATAGCTTCGATTCATGGGCAATCAGTTTGGTTGATTGCTGGCGTGATGGGGAAGCATTGCATGGGGCTCTAGCAGGCGGCTCGTGATGCAAGGCAGTACGGGCCGATCGATGGGAACATGTTCAAGCGGTTGTGCAGATTGGACGACGCTTTCAATACCCTCAGGCACATCACCAAACCCAGCAGCGATGATTTCGTGGCCGCGTTCCGCAGCAAGTTGGTCACATCTTCGCATTGTGGTGGTGATCTGTGCGACGATCGAGATGACCCGTGCAAGGTCTCCGAGCAGGTCACCAAGGACATGCCCGTGGCGTGCAAAGGGGCTCAGCCGACGTTTGGCGCAAACGTGTTCGTCAACACGTCGCCCAGGCCCGCATCGCAGGACCAGAACAGCGCCCTGCCAGACTCCGCAACCCCCTCTGGCGGTGCTCCGGAACCAAAGGTTCGATAGTTTCTTCTTCAAGATTTTTTGCCTCGACTTGAAGCCCGTGAACCAGGGGGATGCTGATCGTGCAGATGGGGCTCCAAGATCTTCTGCTGGTTGTCATGCTGGCGGCATTCCACAACCGCGAACGCAGGATTTCGCGGCCAACTGGGAGAAGTGGTTCATTGACTTTAAGGCGAAGTGCGACATTTGGAAACAGAAGCAGAGCTGAAAGGGGGTTCCCTGCGCTTGCACGGGGGGCCCTATGCAGCGCTACAGCGTTACAGGGAGGGACGGAAAGGCCATATACGGGATCCATCCCGCGCGCTCGCTCTCTGGCGCCGCGCCGGCCGCGCGCGCGCCACCATTGGGGCGCAGGGCCTCGAGCGCGCGATGGCGAATTGGCTGTCGGGGGCACATTCGGGGGGGTGCCCGAACGAGGAGCGGCCCAGCACGAGGTACGAAGCAGATATCGCCGCGCTGCGCCCCTCTGCGGCCCGCTGCGCCGCGCGGTGCCGGCGATGCGTCGCGCCCGAGGCGACGACGCACTGCGCTGTCCGCGGTGGCGCTGGCGCCAACACGGTGGCGACGAAGCGCCTGCGAGCACGACTCACGCAACAACAAGGAGCAGCGCGAATGCAAGTACATCGTCGTTCAGGTGTTGGGAAACTGCAAGGATTGCGACGTGCAGGGCTACGATGGCAATCTCTATTACGGCGGCTTGTAAACCTACAGCTACGACACCGGGCACACGAGCTACTACGGCGCGGACGCCTATCAGGACTATGCTGGTATCTAGTGGCCACCAGCACAGATACGACGTTAAGAAAGCTTCGAAAGCCACAAGCACAGCTTCGATGGCCAGCAGCGCAGCTGCGACGGCAAGAAGCTGAGCTTGGAGACACAATCGCAGAGCTACCTCGGCCACCAGCTAAGCTACGACGACAGAAAGCTGAGCTTCGAGAACAACAAGCGGAGCTTAGAGGGCCACCAGCCGAACTACGAGGGCCACCAGCGCAGCCACGACGGCTGGAAGCAACGCGTGGAGAACCGCCCGCATGTCATACCAGCGTCACCAACAAATCTACGGCGGCAGAAGCCCGAGCTTCGAGGGCAAACAGAGTTTCGAGCGCCTCTAGCACAACTACAAGGGCCACTAGCACAGCAACGCGGGCCACCAGCGGAGTTTCGAGAGCCACAAGCAGAGTTCGGAATCTCGGAGCCCAGAGTCCCAAGGATGTCTCAAGCGAAACGCGCGGGAACACATTTCGCGCGGCATTTCGGAGCCCAGAGTTGCGAGGTTGTCTCAGGCAAAATGCGCGAAACCATCTCTCGCGCAGCGCTTCGGTGTTGCTAGAATGCCTCAGGCGAAACGGCCCAGACCATTTCACTGTTTTGAGGTCTTCTCGTGGCGCAGGTCTCTTGGGCGGAACTAGCTTCTACCACATTATGAACCCTTTAAAAATATGTTTGGGGGATCGTACCGTTAGAGATCTTGGTCTGGAAATCTAAAGCCGAACCAGAATTGCGAAACGGATCCGGCCGCAACGACAAGGAACCCCCCGGGGCGCAAGACGATGAACGATCCCAGAAGCCGAAATCGAGGAACAACGGCGGGATTGAAACACCAGATCGTCACAGATTTGGAGGATGTCAGGGTCCCCTTGCGCTCCGCCGCGCTTCGGGTTCGGCGGCAGCGACAGCAACGCAAAACAAAATCAATCCCCACACGCCGATCCTCGAAAAGCGGCGGCGGCGGCGGCGACGTCAACGCCGGGATTGGAAAATCAAATCGTTAGACATCCGGGGCCGCGCACGCCGCCTCGCGCGCCACCGCGCGCGCCGCCGCGGACGCCGCCGCACGCGCCCACCGCGTGGCAGTCGGTGGTTGCCTGCCGCGCGTGCCCAGGAGAGCCGCGCCGCGGAGCTCCTTGCCATCCTGAGCGAGATCGCCGAGGCGGGGCGCCGTTCCTCTCCGGCACTGGGTGCCCCCCAGGGGGGTTGCATCCCAGACGTCTTGGACGATGCGAAGAAGAAGGCAACGAAGACGCGACAACGTATATTATACATTGAATGGCATAATGTATAAAAGACGTTAACATCTACGTTTTATGTATGCATTTGCATGTGTAAATGTGTGATTGTGTGGATGTATTTGTGCACGTATGTTTGTATGTGTGTGTGCATGTATGCATGCATGTGTGTAGTTATGTATGAATGCATGTATATATGTGTGTATGTACGTATGCATGATCGTATGTGTATGTATGCATGTATGTGTGTATGTATGTACGTTTGTGTGTATGTATGTATGTCTGCCTGTCGGTATGTGTGTATGTATGCGCGTATGTGTTTCAGTATTTTTGTTTGTATGTATGCGTGTATGTGCTTATGTACTTTTCTAAATATGCTTGCATGTACGTCCGTACGTATGTATGTATGTATGCACGTATGTGCGTACGTATGGTTGTATGCACGTATGTGTATGTGTCTTTGTATGTATGCATGTGTATGTATGTGTGAATGTATGCATGGATGCATGTATGTGCATCGGAGGTGAGGGGGTGAGATCGAAGTGGAACGGAGAGCCCCCCTACCGGGAAATCGGTCTCGGTTTCGTGTTCGTGCGTGCCGTGCGTGCGGGCGAGGCGAAGCTGCGTGGGCGGGCGAGAAATGTCCCGCCTCTGGCTGAGGCGCGGCCGGACCAAAAGTCTCCCTTCCGGCAACCGGTGCCGCGCGGTGTCTTGCCGGTGTCCCGCCGGTGTCCCGTCGGTGTCCCAATGATGATGATGACGATGACGATGTTGATGATGATGATGATAATGATGATGATGATGATGATGGCCATTGTTATTGATGATGATGGTATCCCGATGATGATGATGATCGTGATGTTGACGTTGTGGATGATGATGATGATAGTGGTGTCCCGATGATGATGACGATGATGTTGATGATCCTAATGATGTTGATGGTGATGAGATGATGAGATGATGATGGTGATGATAATGATGATGATGATGATGATGATGATGATGGTGATGATGATGATGATGGTGTCCCGATGATGATGATGAGGAGGAGGATGAGGATGAGGATGAGGTTGATGATGATGCTGTTGAAAATGATGATGGTGATGATGCTGGTGTCCCGATGATGATGGTGATGTGGATGATGATGATGATAACGATGATGGTGTCCCGATGATGATGATGTTGATGATGAGGATGATGATGAGGTGGTGATGATGATTTTGATGGTGGTGGCCCGATCATGATGATGCTGCTGATGTTGATGATGGTGATGGTGTCCCGATGATGATGATGGTGGTGATGATGCTGGTGACGATGATGATGGTGTCCCGATGATGATGATGATGATGATGATGTTGATGATGATGTGGCTGATGATGATGATGGTATCCCGATGATGATGATGTGGATGATGTTGTTCATGCTGATGGTGATGATGATAAGATGAGGATGATGATGGTGGTCTTCCGATGATGATGGTGATGGTGTCCCGATGATGATGTTGATGTTGATGATGGTGACGATGATGGTGGTGATTGTGATGATAATGATGGTGATGATGGTCATGGTGATGATGATGGTGTACTGATGACGATGATGTTGATGATGCTGATGTTGATGATGATGATGGTGTCCCGATGGTGATGATGTTGCTGATCCTGATGATTTTGATGATGAGATGATGGTATGATGATGGTGATGATGGTGAAATGATGATGATAGTGTCCCGATGATGATGGTGATGGTGAGGTTGATGATGATGTTGTTGATGATGATGACGGTGTGTCTATGATGTAGATGATGTTGATGATGACGATGACGATGATGGTGCTCGGTGATGATGATGTTGATGGTGAGGATGATGATGAGGTGGTGATGATTTTGATGATGGTGGCCTGGTGATGATGATGTTGACGTTGTTGTCGGTGTCCCGATGAGGATGATGATCATGATGGTGATAATGATGGTAACGATGATGATGGTGTCCCGATGGTGATGATGTTGTTGATGATGATGTTGCTAATGAGGATGATGATGGTGTCCCGTTAATGGTGATATTGACGATGTTGTTCATGATGGTGATGATGAGAAGATGATGATTGTGGTGTTCCGATGATGATGATGCTGATGATGGTGCCCCAATAATGATAATGATTTTGGTGATAATCATGGTGACGATGATGGTGTCCCGATGATGATGATGGTGATGATGATGATGTGGCTGATGATGGGGATGAGGTGATGATGATGACGATGGTGTTCCGCTCCGATGCTGATGATGATGTTAATGACGTTGATGACGATGATGTCGATGATGATGGTGATGATGACGTTGATTGTGGGATCGATTGTGATATCGATAGTGATACCGATAGCGAGACCGAATGTGAGATCAATTGTGAGATGGATAGTGAGATCGATTATGAGATCGATAGTCCTTTCGATTGTGAGATCGATCGAATGAAATAGATCGAGTGATATCGATTGCGAGATCGATCGAGTGAGATCGATCGAGCGAGACCGATAGTGAGATCGATCGTAAGATCGATTGTGATACCGGTCGAGTGAGACGTTGGTTCCTCCCCCCCCCCGAACTTATCACCCGAAGGATGGCCGTATAGGTGTATATATGTGTATATATACACATATATATACATACGCATATGTCAGTGGCTCTCTGACCGTCGTCGTACTAATACAGAAGGCCCAAGAGGTTTGCATGGAGTTTTTCTTTTTTCGGAGCCAGGTTTGCATAGAGTTTTTTTTTTTCGGAGGCAGTTTTGACCCCTCTTGGAGGCTGTGGTAGCGTCTCTCGGGGCCTTTTTAGCGCCTCGTGGGGAGCTAAGGTCTGTTGGGGGCCTTTGGGTGGGATCCTTGATGCCTCTCGGCGGCCGTTTTGGGGCTCCTTGAGCCGTCTTGGGGCCCTCTTGGGCCGTCGTGGGGGCCTCGTGAGTGCCTCTGGGGCCGTCTTGGGGCGATCTGGGGGGGGCGTCTTGGGCCGTCTTGAAGCGTCGGGAAGGCGAGAAGTTGTTGATGCTGCAAGCGTACGTTTTACGAAGGGCATGTGGCGCTGTGAGCCTCCAGGGGCTCCCTTGGAGGTGTCTTGGGGCGAAGAGGGCGCCTCTGGGACTGTCTTGGGGCCATCGTCGGCGTCGTGTAGCCCTCTTAGTCCAGCTTGGGGCCCTCTGGAGGCCATCAGGAGCCGTCTTGGGCCCTCCAGGCGCTCTCGGGTCACAGCGGTCCCCAGCGGGATGCAGGTCTAGCCAGAGCAGCGTTCTATGTGTATGGGTACTCATAATATGTGTATGCCTGTATGTATGTACGGATGCATGCATGCATGTATGTATGTATGTGCGTGTGTGTGTATGTATTTATGTATGTATGTATGTATGCATGCATGCATGCATGCATGTATGTATGTATGTATGTATGTATGTTTGTATGTGTACATGTATGTATACATGTATGTATACATGTATGTATGTATGTATGTATGTATGTATGTATGTATGTATGTATGTGTGTGTGTATGTATGTATGTATGTAGTTAATGTATGTATGCATGTTGTATGTATATATGCATGTGTGCCTGTCTTGTTGTCTGCCTGCCTGGCGGTATGTCTGCCTGTCTGGATGGATGCATATATACATGATTGCGTGTGTGTATGCATGTGTATGTATGGATGTGTTGGTATATACAAATATGTGTATACGCATACACGCGTGAATGTAGACATATGTATATGCATGTACATCCGTACATGCATGCATACATGCATGCATACCTGACTACACGCCTATGTAGATGCATACATTCATGCAGGCATGATGCATGTATGCATCCATACATGTATTTACACATACATACATGCATGCATACGTACAACCATACATACATACATGCATGCACCCATACACATATTCACAAAGTCATGCATACCTGCAAAAACACGTACATACATACATGAATACATACACACCTACATGCATGCGCGTATGCATACATGCATACGTACATGCATGCGTCCAAACATCCATACATACGTGTACACGTACATACATACATAGATACTTTACTACATACATACACATGTTCTCCCACATATATAGATACGTTCATACATACATACATCATGTTATACATCAATACATTCAGGAATGCATGAATGCATGCATGCATACACACATATACACATATGTACATAAGTACTTACATACATGCGTACATGCTTATGTGTACATGTATGTGTTATCCGTCGGGACCAGGACGTTTTTTTCCTTGTTGAGGCCCTCTCAGCAGTACCATTGAAGCCCTTTGGGGGCGTCTCGGAAACCTCTCCTGCTGTCTTGAGGCCATCTTGGAGCGTTTTTCAGCCTACCCAAATTAGATAGGATATGATTGGTTCCATCCGGGCGTTTTCCCCAATTTCATTTTCGGGGGCAAGTTACCTGTCAGTGCAAATGTGATGTCTGTACTCTCTTGCTCACCGGTCACGGCGACGCACTGTGTTCACACAATCCCCTAGCTACGACCGTAGCATGCTCCAAAATGGCTGCATATATAACGCTATGCACAACAGGCAATCATAGCAAAGACGAGACCAGCTCTCTACACTCTGTGCGCGCCTATCGTGTCTTACATGATTCACACGGGGAGGTCGTCGAAGCTATCGTACTGCCACTCGTCGTAGTAGTTGTCGTACCCCGCCGGTATCTCGAAGTCGCCCAGGTCATCGTCGGGGCTCACCGATGAGAAGAAGGGCTCACGCTCGACTCCGTCGTCCAGGATGTCTTCGCGACCTTGTTGACGCCGTTTTCTGGCGGAAGTGAAGGTCGGGTCCTGTACCAGACGCCAGTAGCCGCGAGTCAAGAAGTCCGCCAACACGGATCGAGCTGCACACGACTCCGTCGTCAGTCCGTCGGC